ACCTTTTAATCCATAGCATTCCATCTCTACCCCACCCCAGTCCTCTAGGTTGCTTTTGTTGTTTAGTTTTTTGCTACAGGGCACGTGCACTCACCAGAGAGAGAGAGATGGAAAGTGAGAAATCATCCCCTAAGAGGGAGGCCATGTCACAGTCCCTTTTCCTCCCTTCTCCTCTTGGGAATTTGCACACATACATACATGCCCCTGGCTTGATTTTCAAGCTCCCGAGTCTAGAACACAAACTGCAAAGTGGGTCATGTGTGATGCAGTGTCTTAATCTCCATGCCACCTGTGGCCTTTAGGTTGTTGGTTTTGTAGACTGTCTCACAATCTATTTTTTTAGATTCTTTCCCCCAAATTCGATTCTGGTTAACCACTTTTGGCCATGATACTCACCAGTAAAGTTGTAAACTTCATATTCTGTTACATCGGCAGGCACAAGTTGGGTTATTCCACTGCTGACAATGCTAAATTCGGTTCCTTTGTAAAAGTGACTGCTAGATTCTCATTATAAATGAGTATTTTTTTCTTTTAAAATAATAAGTAAGTTATGTTATGATACTTTGAGTCTATGTAAATAACTTTTTCTCCAATAGTCACTTAATAGTTTTAGAATCCACTGATTTTTTTTTTAATTTTGTAATCATTGTTTTTTCCTTAATTTGTCAGAGGTGAATATGCTCCCCAGAGAGAGAGCGGGAGAGGAAAAAGCACCCCTCAATGGAGTGTGGTCAATTCCTTCTCCATTTATCCATCCTCTCAGGATTTTAGTGTTTTCCTAAACCACCAGGATCGAGACTCAAGCTGCATGGCCATGTGGGATCCAACTCCCTTATCCACTAGACCACGGAGCTGGCTCTCTATTGATAATATTTGTCTGAATCTGTTTTACTGAAGATTACAAAATCATTATTTTCTAATTCTGTCATTTGTATATTTATTAACTGGCATTCACACATAATAAGTTTTAAAGAATTATTTAATTTTATTTATTCATTCATTCACTTATTTTGACTATGTATGTAGAAAGAGAGAGAGAAAGTGAGAAAGCAAGCCACCAGGTCTGGGACTCGAACTGTGGTCAGCCATGTGCGAGTGTCCAGGGCCCTATCCATTATGCCACCTACTGGTCCCTATCCATAATAATTTTTATTTTCCATTTTCTCTACATATACGTTTTTTTCTCCTTTAAGAGAGTGTGTGTGTGTGTGTGTGTGTGTGTGTGTGTGTGTGTAGGGGGGAGGTGGAGGAAGAGGCTCAAGGGGAAAAAAGGAAGTAAAACCTTAAAGGAAACAGAAATAGAAAATGATCAAGAGCCAGCAGGTGGCATGGTGGTTAAGGTGCTGGACTCCCATATGGTCAACTGCAGTTCAAGTCCTGGACTGGGTGGTGTGATTTTACACTTTCCTTTCTCTCTCTCTGCCTCTTTCTTTCTTTAATTTTTATTCTTTTTTTGAGAGATTTTGCTATAGGGCACATGTACTCACCAGAGACACAGAGAGAGACAGAGAGACAGAAAGTGAGAAATCACCCCCCAGGGTGTATGGCCACGCCGCAGTCCTTTTCTCTCCATTCTCCTCTCAGGATTTTGGGCATGCATGCACACACACCCAGTGTGAATTTAAGCTGCCAGGTCCAGGACTTGAACCACAGTCCACTACACGGGAGTCGAACAACCTAACCATTACACCATCTGCTAGTCCTTTCTCGCTTTCTTTCTAGTGTGTGAACTAACCCTTTAGCTAACTAAAAAATAATTATAAATAAAAATAATTCTTTAAAACAAGGACAATTATCTGTTGATGATAATTTGTATCTTTGATGGAACTAATATACAGAGTACCTATAATGAGAAAATTCATTTTGTGTGCTGTAAAGATACACAGTGATTGAATGTAAAAACAATACAAAAAAATTAAATTTAAAAAAGTTTGTGGCTGGCAAGTGGCATGGTGGTTAAGATGCTGGACTCCCATATGTCCAACTGTTCAATTCCCAGACCTGGCAGTTTGCTTTCTCACATTCCCTCTGTCTCTTTGATGACCATATGTGCCCTACAGCAAATTTAAAAATAACAACAAATAAAACAATTCTTTAAAAAAATGTTTTTAAAAAGGTTTGTGAGTGTATGCACTGCACATACACATACATATGAAAACTCATCCTTTATTTTTATTTTTATTTTTATTTTTGAGAGGTTTTTTACTATAGGGCGTGTGCGCTCACCAGACAGACAGAGAGAGACAGAGAGACAGAAAGCGAGAAATCACCCCCCAAAGGGGATGGCCATGCCACAATCCCTTCTCCTCCATTCTCCTCTCTGGATCTTGGGCACGCACGCACACGTGCCTGGCGTGGGTTTTAAGCCACCGGGTCCGGGACACGAACTGCGGCCGACTACGTGGGAGTCCAGCGACATAGCCATTACGCTAACTGCTGGTTCCCCATCCTTTATTTTTAAAAGAATTAATTTTATTTATGATTATTTTTAATTTGATATAAGGCATGTGTACTTACCAGAGAGAGAGGGGAAGAGAAGGAGAGGGAGAGAGAGAGAGAGAGGGAGGGAGAGAAAATGAAAAAAAGCAAGCTACCAGGTCTGGGAATAGAACCACTGTCAGCCATGTGGGAATCCAGCACCTTAATTGCCATACCACCTGCGGGCCCCCTTTATTTAATTTTATTTATTCATTCATTTATTTTAATTTGACCAGAGACACAGAGAGGAAAAAGGAAAGAGAGGAAACAAGCCACCAGTTCTGGGACCCGAACCATGGTCGGCCCCGTGGGAATGTCCAGTGCCTTAACCACCACATCATCTGCTGGTCCTCAGCCCACTTTATTTTTGATTTAAAAAAATTGAGATATTTTTGCTATAGGGTGCATGTGCTTACCAGACACAGAGAGAAAAAAAGACAGCGAGAAATCACCCTCCCCAGGGGGATGGCCATGCCGTGATCCCTTCTTTTCCACTCTCTTCTCGGGATCTTGGGTGTGCATGCACACACACCCAGTGCGAGTTTTAAGTCATTGGGTCCAGGACTCGAACTGTGGCTGACTACATGGGAGTCCAGCGATGTACCTGTTTGCCATCTGCTAGTTCCCCATCCTTTATTTTTTATATATGTTTACAAATTCTTCCTGTAGTTTATTTTCTAAGTGTGTTTATGGCATTTGTCAGTTTTTATTTATTTATTTTTTTAAGAATTATTTTATATTGGGAACCAGCAGTTAGCATAATGGCTATGTCGCTGGATTCCCACGTAGTCGACCGTGGTTCGTGTCCCGGACCCGGTGGCTTAAAACTCATGCCAGGCACGTGTGCGTGCGTGCCCAAGATCCC